GTAATAATTTTATATATAAATATCTTCCAATGCAAATACAGGAAAAAGCTATTTCATTAAGCATAAACAATGTCTTAATTCATATTCCCTTGTTAGAACAACATAAATACATTTGTGATAAAGAGTTTGCGCCCGTGCCGCGTGGTGATTTAACTCCCATCATCAAAACTATTGATGAATCACACTGGATTTATAAAATTTTAGAAGAAAATTTTAGTAAACATCCATTAAAATTATGGCAACGTAGTCCACATTATCGTAGTTTAAAATTGAAAGACCCTAATGTTATCATCAGAGTAAGACCAATGATCTATACTAGACAAGATATAGATGAATTTGAAATTCAACTCCAGGAACTTTTAAACAAAAAATTAATTGAAGAAATTAGAAGCCCTCACTTTAGCCCAGCTTTTATGGTAAGAAACCATGCTGAAATTAAAAGAGGAAAAGCCCGAATGGTAGTCAACTATAAACGGCTAAATGAAAATTTAGAATTTGATGGATATTTTATTCCACGAAAAGATGTTTTGATTAACTTAACCAAAGGATCAAAAATCTTTAGCAAATTTGATTGTAAAAGTGAATTTTGGCAAATTCAATTGACTGAAGAGTCAAAAAAATTGACAGCTTTCAGTACACCTAGAGGACATTACCACTGGAATTGGAATATTATGCCTTTTGGATTAAATATAGCACCACAGGTATTTCAACGGTGGATGGATACAATTTTTAAAGATCTTAAAGATTGTTGTGTAGTTTATATTGATGATATACTTATCTTCTCTAAAACTAAGGAGGAGCATAAGAAACATTTAAAATTACTTTTTGAAAAATTCCAAAAACATGGAATTATTTTGTCTCCAAAAAAGATTGGACTAGAAAAAGAATCAATTGAATTTTTTGGAATAATTTTAGACCATAAAGGTTAAAAATTACAAGAATATATTTTGTCCAAAGTACGAGATTTTCCTAATACTCTTGAAAATATAACACAATTACAAAATTTATTAGGCATTTTAAATTGTGGGCGAAATTTTATTAAAAATCTTCCAAAAATAGAAATTCCGTAGTTAATCAAATTAAGGAAAAATATTATTTTTGAATAGACAACAGAAGATGTTGCTTTAATTAAACAAAATAAAAAAAAATGTTAAAACTTTACCAAATGTTTATCTTCCAAAACCAGGTGATAAATTAGTTCTAGAAACAGATGCCTCAGAAGCATGCTGGGGATGTGTTCTTAAAGCAATACAAAGTAATTTATGGCATGATAAAGAGATACATTTATTAGAAAATGGGATTAGACCAAGAAAAAAATCGAATACCCATAAAATTACAAAAAAAGAAGTAATTTGTGGATATAATTCTGGAACATTTAAATCAAATGAATAAAAATATATTATTTTCGAAAAAGAATTACTCGCAATAAAATTGACAATAAAAAATTTTCATATTTATTTAGGCCTATAAAATTTTATTGTACACACTGATAATAAGGTAGTAAGAGATTTCTTAATCAATAAAAAACTTATTGAGTAAGGAAGATGATTAGCCAGGTATAATAAAATTTCTGAATATACTTTTGAGGTAAAATATCTTAAAGGTACTAACAATTTTCTTGCAGATTTTCTTAGTAGAAATTGTTTCAGAAAATTAAATTACTAAACAAGTAATTTTAATTTTTGCAGTGGACCTCTAGACCAAGAGGAAACAATAGATAAGAGTAAATAACCCGCTTGGGTGACAATTGCTAAAAAAGCAATCTCCAGACAAGAAAGAGTTTATGTTGTATTCTCAGGAAAACAATCTGGAATTTACACAGACTGGAATGAAGCCAATCAATAAGTTCATGGATTTCCAGGAGCCAGTCATAAATCATTTGATAGCATGACCAAAGCTAAAAAACCTTCCAAATCAAACACCAACACTAGCTAAGGCACTACGAAGAAAGTGACGCTGAAACCTACAAACACATTAAGCTTTCATTTGACATGTCAGATTTTTTTGATATTTTAACTATTTTAATTACAAAAAAATAAAATAGGTTTTTTAGTTTAATAAGACAAAACATCACATTCAAATCTTAATCATTTCATTTTTTTTCTCTCACAAAAATCAAAAACAGCTAAAAGATTATCCTAAACGAGACTTTTTAGCCTCAGGCTAAATAACTAAAAAGTCAAAAAATTAAAAAGTCAACTCACATCCCAAATAAATCCTAAATTTAATACAACTTTCCAAAAACTCAAATTAGTGATGATTATATAGTCACAACACTTTAATACAATGTTACATTATTGCCCAAACGTTCCAATCACTACTACACTAGCCCATCGCACAAGCATTGACAATTTCAAACCCAATCACGCCTACATTGCAACATTGACCACCATCTCAATGCCCAATCTCATAGTATCCTAACTAATTGCCAATAATGATTCAGAGTGCTACCACTATCTAATATTGCACAATCATTATTATTGAATAAAATTTTGCTTCAAGTGCCACAAATCTTCCAGTGGCAGAGAAGAAGGTAGATAAAATAAAATAAGTGAGAATGGGGGCAAATTGTAATGGAGGAAATCAGGAAGGAGAGGTGGTTGAAACGCATTAAAATGTATGTCTTGGTTGATTTGGGGGCTTGATTGAGGGCTAGGGAAAGGTAACGGTAACAATATAAAAGGAAAGATGTTAAATGGCGTTGATGTCTTTGGAATTGGTAAAAACAATTTGGTAATTTTATTACAACATGAGATAATAATCTAATTTTATATTTTTGGTGTTAAGAAACACACTAGCATGAAAGGCAAGTGTAATTTTTGAAAATGTCAAGGAGAAATTGTTTTGGGAACAATTTAAATAAGTATATTTATTTGCTTATTTATTTATTTGGATCAAATAATCTCTCTATTTTTTTATATATTTTTTTCATAAAAAGTCAAAAAATCACAAATAAACAAACCCTAAATCACAGGTGGTGTTAGTATAAAAACACCAAAAATTATAGTAGGATAATGAAATTGAAAATTTGAGAGCTAGAATAATACACAATTAGGCCTCGTTTGGGAACCCTCCCTTTTAGCTAAAAAGTCAAAAAGTTACTAAATTAGTCAAAAAGCCAACAACTCATACCAAAAAGTCAAAGATTCTCTTTTCTCTCTACTTTTTACACATCTTTCGCAAAAAGTTAAAAAGTCATCCTAAACATACTAGTTTTTTTTACCTCATATTTTAGCCAAATAGTCAAAAAGTTATTAAATTAGCCCGTTCCCAAACGAGGCGTAAGACTTGATTTGGTACAATTTATTATAAATTAAAAATTGATAATAAAAATCATAAATTAAAATTTGAATAAAAATCACTTTAGCTTCCTATACTTTCGCTTTGGATCACTTTATATAATTTCGTTTCAGAACTTACACCAAACATTCTAATTTTTTTTTATAAGACCTCATAACAATAAGGGTCTTCCTTATACACGCAACCAAAAAAAGGAAAAGAAAGAAAAAAAAAAGGAAGGGTGTGCACAAATTATGAGGGTAGTTTTGTCCCTCAGGGCACATCCGACAAATTGTGAGGGTGGTTTTGCCAATTTGTTGCATATCAACTTCAAGAGAAAAATATGCAAGTTTGCTCGGAAGAAGATTAGCAATCTGTTTGGCGGTGGATACTAGTAACAGAAACAAAAGAAACAAAAAAAAAAACAAAAGATTAGAGATTACACTTATTGAGATAATCTAAATAAGGCACATTTAAATTTTTTTTTGGAATGATTTTTTCCAGGATTATGATGATTTTTTAAATTTTTTCTTAATTTTTATTTGCAAAATTCAAAAAAGAAAATTAAACAAGCCAAAATAAACTAAAAAGTTTATTAATTTTCACTTATTTTTGTCTTTTCTGATTTTTTTTTTAATTTTTAAATTTTTTTTTACAAATTTTCAAAAAAATTCACAAAAAATAAAAATAAACCCCAAAAAAAGAGTAAACCCCAAAAGTCCATTGAAAAATTATTAATTGAAAAAATAATTAAATTAATTAATTAATTAAAATAATGGTAATAAAATCTCCCAATCAGAAGAAATTATTCTATGGATCAAGAGACTATGTACCCATCAAATGAGTGCTATTTTGGGAAGTTGGTAGGGGTCTTTTGGGAACAAAATAAAATTCAATTTTTAATTTTTTATTTATTTTGGATCACATTACCTCTCACATTTTTTATTTATAAAAAGACAAAATAGACTAAAAAAATTAAAAAAATCAATTTTTTACTAACTTTTCAAAACACTACTAAAAAGCTGATTTTTTGACTTAATGGATTGTTTTTTTACAAAAAAAAATGAATTTTTTTGACTAAAAAAACTACTAAAAAAAATTTAAAAACTGACTTTAAACTTCTTTCCAAAGTGTTCCTGAGATTTCTCATTTCTCTCTCATTTCCTTGTTTTAGCTTTATGCACACCTCTTACGATTAGATGTACACACCGTTAACATGAAATTCTCGGAACACCAGATAATTACTCCCAAATCAGAGTAGAGACTGGTCTCATACAGAGCCACTGCACCCTCTCTCTCTCTCTCTCTCTCTCTCTCTCCCCTGCTTTTCCCTGTGTGTGCGCGCGCGCGTTTGCATATTATTGCAGAGTTGCTTTGCTCTCTCTTCATTTTAATGGCGTGAGCGTTACACGGTGACTGACCGCTTGTCTTCCCACCCCTAAACAACCCTTCCTTATCAAAACCCATCTCTCCAAATTCACCGTCTTCCTCCCCTAAACCCCCCACTACCAAATCAAAAATTCCATCAATCAATGAATTTCTTCATTCCTCTCTTCTATTACTCTTTCAGGTTGTGATCTCTTGATCATATATACACATTCTTTAGCATCTCTACATTGATATCTGATTTGGGTTTTGGGTCTTGGGTCTCTACTCTTTTTATTTTTTTATTTTTTTTGTGTGTGTGTGTGTCTCTCTGTTTACCTCTGTATACATATCTATATTGGTTTGTTTGTGATGTTTAATGTAAAAAAAGGTGAGAAGGAAAAGAGGGTTGTGGGGGACATGAGGGATGATACAGAGCTTGAAATGTTGTTGAGTGAGATCCCTCTTATGACTTCTCTTGATCACCATTTTCATCTTCAAAACAATCATCACCACATGTTTATGAGTGCTTCACCTAATAGTTCAAGTCATTTCTCTGGTGGGTTTTCTTCTTCAGAGGATGGGTTTTCACCTTCCATAGCTCAAATGGACCAAACTATGTATCAAACACCGAGTACCCATTGCTTGGATTATCTAGTTGTCAAGAACTCCAATGATTATATGTTGGATGAACTTGGTTTGTGTGAAAATCTTCGTAGAATGAATGTTGGGGAGGCAAATGGGGATTATTCCAAGGTTAGGCAATTCGGGTTGGACTCGGATGGGTTTGGGTTCGGTGAACGTTCTTTAGATGGGAATATTCCTTGTAGTTTTGACAATTTTTCGACATTTGAAGGTTTTGGCAGTAATTTTCATGGCTATGAGGGGTTTCAGTCATCAATTCCCAGAAATTCTTTGAGTTTTAATGATGATATGAAGGCGAAATTACTTGGGTGGAGGCAGGGATATAATGCTGGTAATTTAATGGGGTCTCATCTTGCACACAATCACTCCAATGCATTGTATTCTGAACCAAGTTGCTACACAGACATCAGGGGACTTCAATTACATAACCCATTTCTGAATAGGCCTTATCTGAATGATGAATTGGGTTGTTCATGGAAAAATGGGATGGATTTGAGTGGAGATAAGAGTTTCTTGAATCCCGTAAACTCGTCTCAGTTGGTGTATCCTAATCTGGCTTTGGGTGTTGGAAATCCAATATGTAATAATAGTTCGATGTTAAAAGAAAAGACTAGAGTAGTCCCAAATGGCAGTCTCTCCCCTCTTTTGTCAATGACCGATTCAAGAGATGTTGAAGCTTTTAGCTGTGAGGATAGCTTCATTATTCAAGGAAAGAATTTGAAATACGTTGTTGACAAGGGATGTGATCGTTCAAAAGGTCAAAAGAAGTCCCCCAATGAAATTGCAATGCAAAATTTGAGAGAAAAAAGACAAAATCTGCATGCTCAATCACAATTTCAAGGAATTTGTGAGAATAGTGTGAGCCAAAGGAGTTATAGTCCAATGGTTTTGCAGCCAACATGTAGTTCACTGGTTAAGGTCCAGGGTTATATATACTTCATGGCGAAGGATCAGCGTGGTTGTCGGTTTTTGCAAAGGATATTTGATGAGGGAACCTGTCAAGATGTTCAGATAATATTTAATGAAATTATCGATCATGTTGTTGAACTTATGATGAACCCATTTGGAAATTACCTTATGCAGAAATTATTGGAAGTCTGTAGTGAAGAACAGAGACTGCAGATTGTTCTCATGGTGACTGAAGAACCTGGAGACCTTGTTAGAATTTCTTTGAACACACATGGGTAATTCTTTTACTCGTTGCTCCTTTTTTTCATAGCAAACTTGTTTGTTTTTGAAGTGTCTATTGTTTCTGAATTAAACTGTTGTGGTGCCATTCAGTACTCGTGTGGTGCAGAAGTTGATTGAATCTCTCAAAACCAGGCAGCAGATTTCATTAGTGGTATTAGCTCTTCAACCAGGTTTTCTTAATCTTATTAAGGACCTCAATGGAAATCATGTCATACAACGCTGCTTAGAATGCCTTAACAAGGAAGATAATAAGGTAAAAGTTTTCTTCGCATTTGATGGATGACCATAGAATAAGGTTTATTAAGATTTGTTTAGTACCTTCTCTGATTTTCTTTCCCTTTGACTGATCAATGATCTTACATTGCACAACATCATATTACTTCTTTTCTTTGGTTCATCAAATTTCTTTTTAATTTCTAGATTACTTTTTCCCTTTAGAGGATTCAGCTCAGTGCCGTTTACTATTTAATTAATATTCCCCAACAAAAGTGTGTTTCATGAATCTTATGTAGCTGCTTTTGATAATGCAACTCAACTCAATTAAGACTAATCCCAATTGCTAAATGAGTCTTTTTTGACCATCCTGATCTGAATTGCACAAGTTGAAGGCTCTATGTAGACAACCATATTTTATATGCAAATGCTAATAAAATGTTTATTGGAAATAGGTAAAAAAACCAAAAAGCTTTTTGAATTCAGTGGAATTGTTCTGATTTTAAAAAAAGTGCCTTGTATGCTTCACATTTTTTGTCTTTTTCTTGTGCCCCAGGGGCACTTGTTAGCAAGACCCTATGTTATATCGTCAATTTTATGTTGGGTAATGTGCTTTGACAGGTGGATCAGTTATTCACTTAGACCATTCAATTACACATTATTCTTGAACTGTTGTCAGTGTGTAGAATTCTGTTTCACTCTCATTCTTCATGAGCCATATATTCCAATTTTTTTCTGAGTGTCAATATCTTATAGCTTGTAATTTTTCAGGTCCTACTATATGCTCATCTTTACCTGTATGGATTTTCAAACCATCTCAATTTGCATTGCCTAACTTTTTCACTTAATATCACTACTACTAGATTTTCTTGAGCGTTCATCTTTAGTAGCATTCCATTCAATCTTCTCAACATGCTACTTATCGACCTGTTATTTATATCTGATTAGCCTATTATTCTTCTCCATAATCCTTCTCACTCTTGCACATCTCCACTTAGCAATCCTTCTTAACTTATTCCTCTTGTGAATTACAGTACTGGAGTATTAGGACAGTTACAGCCACGATAAAATTTTCCTTGCTTTCGCATGTGCAGGATCTTGTGTAATGCAAGCCCAGCACATATATTATTCGATATCGTTTTGGGGTAATAATAATATTTTCAGTACTGCTAAGGAATTGATGGCTGGTTCTGTAAGACATATCCTAGTGGCAGGCCTCAGATTTTTTCTTTCTTCTATTTTTTAACATAGAAATTGATCAATCATATTTTGTGCAATATGCAATTCTTACATTTGCAAACTCTATTTATAATATACCCCTTTGAGATTAGCTTTTCCATGCGATTCATTTTTTATCTACAAATTTAGAATTGTAGAAGAGTTCTACAAATGGGTTTTATTTGCACTACTATATTGAGAACTAAAAGGATTTGTAAGATGCTGATCATATATTGTTACTGAGATGCTTTACCTCTGGTATTTGTTGGTTACGTACCCTGTTAGACTACTCTTTTTGTTTTGTTTTGTTTTTGTTTGTTATGGTGGTTCTGCTGCATCCTTATTTCACTTCTTGTAATACATGTGTCGCCTTTAGTTGTCATTTTTTTGTAAGTGTGTCTATATACATGCATGCACATTTTATTTTGTTTATGGGCATGCACCCTTAACTTGTCTTAAGGCATGAAGAAAATTGTGCTTCACCGGCACAACTCATTTTTAGTCTTATTCTACACATTCATTTGAAAATAAGCCAACATGTTTTTCTATGTTGAATGCGATGTATATCCTTCATTTTAATATGACTGTATGGTCACATGCTCCTATCAAAGGGTGGATCAACTTTGAGAGCATTGACCACTTTCTCCCCCTTTTTTGTCAATTAATATCTTATCTACTTTCTCTTTCAATTTTTTTTTTAATTAATTTTTTCTGGGGAAATTACACACACACCCACAAAAAAGGAAAAAAAAAACAAACCCATGGTTTGACCATGGTAACAAATAAACCTTTGAGTTTTAATTTTGTCAATTTATACACTAATATTTTGATTTGTTTCCAATCTAAACTATTCGTCTTTCTCCGGAGAGTAAAACCAATGGAAAAGAAATATTTTAGCCATTAAACTTAATGCCTGTGCACATAAAATGTTTAAAATATCATTTTTTTAATTGAATTTAATGACTAAAATATATTTTTTTTCCTCCATTGGTTTTACTTTACAAAAATCGGTAAATGGTTTAGATTTAAAATAAATTAAAAGCTCAAGGTTTACTTTGTTACAAGCTATGAAGCACGGACACTCCAAAAATGGTGTTGTACGAGTACCGGATAATTACCAGGCGCGTGTACGCGTAATGGGTACGCTGAATACATGTTGGGTGTGGCAGATACATTTTGGTTCATCGTGGGTATGTCATGGGTACGGGTTGGGTATGTTTTACTGGATGATTTTATTTTTTATTTTTTTTTTATTTTTTTGCAGTTGCTAGAATTTGTTGCAACCTTTATTATTTTTCTTTGAACTTTGAAAATCATCAGATAATTTGTTTCCAACACCCTTTACACATGAGTCATAGCTTTGCTCTCTTTTGCATCATCTTTTAGACAATCAAAAAAGAAAAAGAAAGAATTATATTACTTTTTAGACATGCTGTTCTCTTTTTAGTTTTGATATTGAAACTTTGATTTGTATGTTGGATGTTGGATGTTTAGTTATAAATTTAAAATTAAAAAAAAAAATTGGCGTACCCTAGCCGTACCCGTATCCTACTTTTTAAAGAATTTGCCGTATCGGCGTACCTGTATCGTACCCGCACCCGCACCCATGCTTCCTAGGTTACAAGGGTCAAACCTTGATTTTTTTTTTTTTCCTTTTAAAGCTTCAAGGTTCTAAGATTCAAGTACTGCATTTGGTTTCATATTTTTAATACTTCAGAGTATTCAACATTTCAATTTTGTTTGTGGTCCTTGGTTGATGCCTCAAAGGGTTTGACCATCATTTGGTGATTTGTTCAAATGACTGGAAGGTTGCAATTATCGTATCCTGGATGGTCATTGGCGTGACCCAAATTTTTAGGCTATGCAAGGAGGGGGTAGATTTGGTGTTATCAAAGATGATACTGATTATTTTATAAAAAATGGCGATATTGATATTTAGGCCTTAATGTCAATTTTAATTAACCTTGAGCAATATATATTTTTGGATTTTGACTCCTCGTTTGTCCTTCGGAATTACAATCTTGGAGTATTATTTTATTTAAGTTTAAGAGTTGATTATTGGTTCTTGATCTCGAGTGTAAATAACCAGGCATCTTTGTGTTTTACGATAAACATTGGTGATATCTGGAAGGTGTTTACCCTCCAAGAAGAGTAAGAGATAGAAATCAAGGGTACAACTTGGTTTAGTGAAACCTGAATCAACCATCGTGAATTAAAACTATTTTTGAATTAATTAATTTTTTCTTCTCTTTGTTTTTCCATAAAAAAATTGCAGCAGCATGGCTATAAAGTCAAATATCTCTTCTCTTGCATTCAGAGATTTCCTTAATTTACCCTATTACTTTAGCACATAGATTGCTTGATGAAAGCCCATGTCTTGTATGTAAGCTAATTGACATATCTCTAATTTTCGCAAATCAGCAAAAAAACTGTGTTTGCCGTGAATGGATAATGATGCTTGACCAAAGCATGAACTCTTAGATATTGCATCTTGTCTGTAGCATATAGTTAGTTATATTCAGTAATGGCAATGTAGAGATTTGGAACAATACAGCCCAAACCCGCTGGTTTTCCCCTTTTGTTCCAATCCAATACCAATTTAGGTTTAAATATTTCCCCAAAATGATGCATTGGCATGGGGTGGGATTGGATGAGATAATGAAATAAGTATTGTTCTGTACCTAATATGGAGACAAACATATATAATTAATATCAGGCAAATAAATGAGGATAAAATAAACTTGCACCTGGTTATGTAAGGCTCAAACATATCCCAAGGGCTGGAGCATGAAACAATTGACTCATTCTGTTGCCGTCTCTACTCATACAACCATTTTTTCTGTTACTCTCAAGATTTCTCAGGTAAGGACTGCTGTCTTTTTTAATTTTTTAATTTTTTTTATTGAATTGCCCCCCAGTGCCAAAGTTGTGTGGTATAAACTGGATTACGATGTCTGAGTTGGATTATTAATTGAGAACATATAAGTTTGATAGTAATCCAGCAAAACAGAATATTTCATTCTAGGTAATTTGTGTTAACAACATGGTTTCTTTCACATGCTCTAACCTTTAAACTATAATTTGCATGAGCCTGTGGAAAGCCTTCGACCAGATATATCTTCATTCCTAAATGGTTTAATTTTAGTCTGTACTGTGATTACATAATTATTCTTTTAATTTGATTCTCATTACCTGCTTTGTCTTCTCTGTTTTTTAATCTTTGGCAGTTTATATTTGATGCTGCTGCAAAGTTCTGTGTTGATATTGCAACTCATCAGCATGGATGTTGTGTTCTGAATCGATGCATTGATAAGTCAGTTGGGAAATATCAGGAAAAGTTGGTTGCAGCAATTGCTGCTAATGGGCTTCTTCTTGCTCAAGATGCTTTTGGGTAATTTTTTTTGAAAAGTTTGGATGATATCTTTGATTGAATATTTTTTATGTACTATGTATGCATGCCTATGGCTGTATTTTGATAGAATGATCCACATAGAAATATATCCAACAAATGAGTATTTTTGCTCACTAAAAAGTAATCATTTTCATGCTGTGATACGGTTTGTTTGCATTCTTGTTAGGAATTATTGATTTCTCTGTAATTCTATTATTTGTTACTCAAAATCTTGCTTTTGAATATCACTGCATTTAGTAATATGGTAACGGAAAAAAAAAAAAAAAAAAAACAAAGCACTGCCTTAACATCTTTGTCTCCTTCAAGTTGATCATTAATGTGAGAGGTTCCTTCTGGTTAGAGAATCATGCTAAAGTGGCTCTCCCATCAATAGCTTGCTCAACCTACCAATCACTAGATACATAAATTGTTGACTGTTGTGTTTTATCATCAGATGTGGAGATTATTCTTCGTAATTGTTCTTTAAACTGTAATTGCTAAACAATGCTTCATCTTGAAAACCCTGGGCAGACTTTTCGTGCTCCACTGGCCTTCTTACTTAGCATTAGCTCATTTCATTGTGACTAGTTCACCCTTTGTAGTTTGTACTTAGCTAGGCCATGATTTATGTTACATTGCTAAAAAAGTATTGAGCATTGAGATCTGACACACTAATGTAACGGATAGAGTTCGCAATTTATTGACCTGGCCTGTGGAATCTTCCATTGATTTTAATGGTTGTTTTGATCAGACAGTGATTTTAAGGGTTTGAGTTTGGTTGGGTTTCTTTTTCATGTTATAAATGGGTTTGTTTGATTAAGCCCATTCCAACTCATTTCTAAGTAGGCAGGAAATGCTACAATGTGCACTTGCACATTGTAAGAAAAATTACGATTTTGTGATAGAAGTCATGAATTTTTGTGATGGAAGTTATGATTTTTGTAATGAAAGCTATAAATGGTGAAGTTATGATGTGCACCCTAAAAGTTAAAGTTATGTTTTTGTGATTTAAGTTCTACTTTTTGCGAGAAGCAAAAAGTTACAATTTTTGTGAAGAAAAAAGTTATACTTTTTGTGATAAAAGTTATACATTTTATGATAAAAGTTGCACTTTTTACATCAGGCGCATACCATATGCACCCTTTCTGGGGTGCACATGGTAGCCTTTCCCGTATGGGTTTTGGCCGCGGTGATCCATTTATTGAAGGGCTTTAGACTAGGTTCAGAGTATGAGCAATATTACAGGTGGTTTTCCCAACTTAAACCGGCCCCACTTTCCCTAGTTTCAGACTGGAGAATTGAAATATATAAGATCTAGCAACAAGGTTGATTGAGTTGGAGGCCAAACGATTTTATTGATGGTTTGATGGGAGGCTCTGGGTTAAACAGCATAACTGACAGCTTCTTACTGCCTCCATTCAATTTGCTCTCTCCTCCTAGTTAGCTCTATATTAATTGAATTCACACTAATTGGTATAATGGTCATAAAACAAATTATACAGTCAACTCTAATGGAAGTCCTCTCTTCTGTTGTCTTCTTTTCTCACAGCCATAACCCATGTTTGTTTAGCATCCTGTTCCCTCCTTTCTCCTTTCATTTTTGTCGTCATCATCATCATCATCATCAAATCATCATAATGATCATCTTTTTCACATTTCTTAAAGTGGTGAAATGCCATGTGTTAATGCATTTATCTTTGATTATGATCCAAACGACCTTTTGACTTACAGCAATTAACTGCAGCTTTTCCAAGTTACACTGGCTGATCTCAGTTGATGTGTTGTTATTTGTCCATATCTCTGGTTACTCTTAGACTTTTTCACACGTGCTTATTTTTATTTTTCTACCATCTATCTCACCATTCGCATTATATAACTATGCTAATGAACATATTATACCTTACTTGTAAATTGTATTATAGATATCTCCAAATCTCTGCCTCAATACTGCTTTCTTATAGCTGTGAATATTAATTGTTCGTGTATATGTCAGCAGTTAATTTTTATCATTTTCTTGCACTATGTACATCCGTATAAACCTCTACCCCTCTACCTCTGTATCTCATTAGAAGTAATTTGGTCTTGTGATGGTTGCTTTAATTATTTGTATTTGGCTTCATGGCATATTTTAATATTTTGTTTTGAATTGAATGCTTGTTTTTTTTTGGATCCCAGAAATTATGTTGTCCAATACGTTATACAGGAGATCCCTTTAGCTGCTGCCGGCTTGATTTCTCAGTTTGAAGGGCACTATGTGCACCTCTCGATGCAAAAATTCAGCAGTCATGTTGTTGAAAAATGCCTCAAACATTTTGAAGAGAGCCGTCCAAGAATCATCCATGAATTGCTTTCAGTGCCTCACTTTGAACAGTTGCTGCAAGACCCTTTTGCCAACTATGTCATTCAATCTGCACTTGAAGTTAGCAAGGTACGGAAATCAACATGGCTCTCATTTCATTAACATGCTTCATGACATTCACTCTACTTTGGCTGGCAAATCTGAATGTTTGATGACTATTTGGCTGTATCTGGATTTTTCACACTGAAATGAGTTAAGGTGAAAAAAAATTGGTAAACACTTTAAAATTGGCTAATTTTCTTAAGAACTCAGTTTCATAATACACTTTCTATTGGTTTTCTTTGAATTTATAAAAGGAAATAAAATTCAGGTACAAAGTTGGTCTGAGTTCAGGATTTTGGCATGTCATACTTTTGGCTAAGAGAGAAAGTAACACATATTTATTATTAGGATAAATAATTATTATACGGCATGTATATGAATACATTTAAGTCAAAGATAATAATTTTTAGAATTTAAAGAAGGAGAATAAGTATAAATTTACATTGCTTTTGTTTTTATTATTGGATTCCAAGTTATTTCATTCAAACTTGTATGGTGTTCATGTATATAGTGTTAGGAAGTATCTGATGAGTGTCATGTCATGTTGGTATCAAACATGATACGTTACCTTTTTATAAGTGTCCATGCTTCTTAGGGTAACACCTTGTGTTTGCATGCGTCTACCCTATGCACACGTGCCTGATAAACCAAACCAAACCAAACCAAACTAAGCCTTGTGTCGGATACATGAATATTTTTTTGTCATTCTACTCTGCCAAGGGCTATTTACTTGGTTAAATTAAATAAATTCTTCTCTCTCTCTCTCTATATATATATATATTTATTTTTATCGCCATTTTGTTGCGCCTATGATGTGTTAATTTTGTCGTTTGTCTTGAACCAGGGCACTCTCCATGCTTCATTAGTCCATGCAGTTCGGCCTCACACCATCCTACGCACCAGTCCATATTGCAAGAAGATTTTCTCGCGCAACCTCTTGAAGAAGTGATTTTCATTGGCCTGTGGCAAGAAGTGTTGTGTTCACCCCAAGAGCACTACCGTGTTCACTAATAATAACTACTCGTATCTATCATAGGGCTGCCGTTTCTAGATTATCTAACTGTTAGAATTTGGTGCTGATCTACCATGATCATTGTGGCTTTTGCTGCACTGATTGAGTGTAAAAAAGCAAGTTTTGCTACCCCGTCTACTTGAATTGTGGAGATGAGTTGTAATATTCTGTTGTCTTGTTGATCTATTACTCTTAATGTACAAGGTTGTAAAGGATCGCAGCGGTGAGTTTTTGCTTCTACTTGTCTAAATGCGACGATGCCTTGATAACTTTATAGATAATATTTCTGTTTCTTCCTATTAATACCTACTTTTTACTATTATAATCTTTGTTTTGTCTTTATTTGCATTTTTACTACAATGGTTTTATCTGTCACCCATTGATTTTTTTTCTGATATTGCAAGATAAAGTTCTTGTTCTCTGGTCATGGATATCAGTTTTAGCTACATGGACTATTTGTTTGGTACATCTTTTGACAAATAAAAACTAATAATTTAAATGTAGAAGTTAAAAGTATTCTCCTAGTTTCTGAATCATCAACTTTTTAGAACTTTTGAAGTTATTTTTCCTAGTTTCTGAATCATCAACTTTTTAGAACTTTTGAAGTTATTTTTCCCTAATAAGAAGCTACACCAAACAGTACGCTATATACTTCCCCCCCCCAACAAAAAAAAAAAAAAAAAAAAAACAACACTACTCTTGTAAGCTGCATAAAAATGTTTAATGCATGCATATCCTTGTTTGAGCTAAGACATCTCTGGATTAGGTTTGGTTCAGTTCCATAGGCCTACAAATTGAATTTCATAAATGTGTGTTCATTCCTTTGGGGTTATAGTTTAGTCAGTGGAACAAGGACCCCAAAACTGTATTTTACATCCTTTCCTGAGAACATCTGGTAAAATTATCTGAAATAATAACATCCACTCCATGTACAGTGAGCAGCCTCAACAACCCTTGGAAGTTCAGCATGATTCAGTTGGGTTTTGAGGAAAAGATTTTAAAAATATTCTGTAGAAAACGTTTTTCTACATGGGCTAGTGGTGGTTGTGGCGGTGGCGGAGATGGTGGCGGGCTGGTGGTAGTGGTGGCGGAGATGATGGTGGAGTGGTGGTGGTGGTACATTTTAATTCAGAAAATGTTTTCTACCTTTTAAAAGTAGAATATTTTTTTCTCAAATAATATGTTTATTGAAAATATTTTTTTGTTAGATTCTTGTTTTTTTGTCATACTAATAAATGTTAAAGATACAAAGAATATTTTTTTTAAAAAAATATTTTATATCCAAACAAACAATGTGTAAAATCCATTAAGTATAAGGACATAAGTACAAGGAGGACACGATTTTTGAGAACGAAGATTTTGTGCTAAAACTGATCCTACATCACATAGTGTAGGTATAACTATTTTATGGAAAATGTTTGAAATCTCGAAAATAAAACTTTTCTAATTTGACTTGCAATAGTGTAGGCATTATAAATGACAATTTTTTATTTGTCTCACAACGTTTGAGACCCCTAAAAAATTATCACAAATTGATTTGTTACATCCCAGCCCAACTCCCTTGCCTATATGCTCATCTATATCTATATCTATATCTATATCATATATATATATATAAGTAAAATGAGGTTTTAGTAAAAAAAAACCTTTAAGGCCTCCACATACACATGCCTAGGATGAGGGGTTGCTATAACTGTTTTGTTCAATTTGAAGTTTATTGTGGGTTTATTTTTATGATCTGAACCGTTAATTTGTACGACTCGTCGAGTATTGCAACCATGTCAAAAATCATGTTAATCGGATATCAGTAATCATGATATCAGTAATCAAGTTTATTGTTTTTTTTTTTTGTGATAAATGAAATTCGATCACATGGTTACCAATATCCGAATAATATGATTTTTTGTCACACTTGAAATACTCGACAAACCCTCTAAAATGAACGGTTCAAATCATAAAAATAAGCCCATAATAAATCTCAAATTAAGGCATAACAGCTATTGTTATGCCTTTAGCACAGTAACAACCCCTCTTCCACATGCCTAATCTCAATTTCTTATTTTTTCAATTTAAAAAAATAATAAACTATATTTCTGAATTAAAAAAATAAAAAATCTTCAAGCCCATCTCCTAAGATCATTGCTTAAAAGATTATCATTTCTTAAAATCAAATATAGAAATACGATTTGTTGACCTTCCAATTTATTTGTTCATCTTCTAAAATCTCTATATAAAATCCTTCATTCTTTAAAATAAATTAAACAAAGATTAGTTCAAATATGTTTAAATTGTTTTATTTGACTAATTTTGTTTCCTTATAATTAATTTGAAAAACTGATTTGATTGTTTTCCAATAATTAAATTGTTTCTCCGTAAATAAATTGAATAAATGGATTTGGCTATATCTCAGACTAAATTTATGAATTTTTAAGTTTTAAAAAAAAATAATCATGATTTATGATTTGGAAAATGAAAGATGAAAGAAGATCATTTCTGTACATTTTTTTCTCTAGCCAATTCTTTCTCCTATCCCAAAACCCTAGCTGTCTGTCATACATTACACCTTCTCGAAATCATTTACGTCCTCCTCATCTTATAAATATTACATTCATGCAATAATGCAACTCATTATTTTTTCTCTATCTTTATGAGACAATCGGAGATTAGTTAATATTTAATTTCTTGAATTCTTTAAACAGACTCTTTCATCTTTTAAATAATTTTTTTTTTCAACTTTTGACTAATTTTTGTTTTTGCATTTTATATTTTATATATTATTTGTCTCTCTACTACCATTATTTGTTTTTTTGCTTATAACCATTTTTTTTTGTTGAAAAATATCATTTCACTAGAATTTATATGCAAAATTTTACCCTAAAATGATGTGATTGCATCATTTGTATAATAAAAAAATATATCAATGGACTCTTTATTATAAAGTGATAGATCAAAATCCAACCAGATCATTATTAATAATTTTTTTTTTTGGTATTGATTTTATATTTGCATATCACCACTCTTTTTTTATTTTACTTTTAATATTTTGTAACATCATGATATGTGTTAATTGAAATTGGTGTAGAGCATTATTTCAAATTTACCTAATAATTTTTTCTTTAATATTTTTATTTGCAGTTGATTTTGTTTAATTTTTTTTGAATTGATTTTTGTTTAATTCTGTTTAAAAATATTTTAAAAATATCTACAGTTGTCTAAATTAAAGTGAAGTTACGGCCATAATTATAACACTATAAAAAAAATTACATTTAATCTATTTTTTCAAAACTATTAAGTATGCATAAATATCTACATTTTATTATGAAAAAAATTCTAATGATGCATGTTTACCAATTTAAAAAATATTTACATAAACAAATTGGTCAAGTGACTCTTCAATTTGTGTTGATTAACATAAATCTAACATGGCTTAAAAATAAAGTTAAATTTAAAAATACCTTTATATTTTATGGTCAACTTAAATTTGTCATACTTTATCAATTGGCAATCTAAAGATTACTAATACGAGAATATTTTTCCTAATCTACTTACTGAAATAAATATAACAATTTAAATATTTCATTTTAATTTTTTTTCCATATCGCCTTAAAAATAAAGAGAGATAGAAGGGGAGTGGGAGAGAGGAAGAGAGACAAAAAAAAAAAGAAGCTAAGAATGCTATATCACTTGACAAACTTTGATATGATAAATTATAATTACGAATTTCGTTGACAATGAAATTATACTTGATAGAAAGTATAATTTTTGTAATTTAAAAAAATTCATTTGTTTTAATTTTACCAATTGAATTATTATATATCTATTTGTTAGATAATACTTAGGACAAAACATTAGTAGCAATAAAAAATAAAATAAAATAAAATAAAAATTGTGTAATTCATGCCATATTTGGGATGTTATCTTTTTTATTAAAAAGTCAAGAAACTAAAGAGTTCTAAAATGTGTTTAGCATGTACCAAAAAAAAAAAAAAAAAAATTGAAAATCTTGGAAGGATAAAATGAAAAATTTAAGTAACAAACAAAAATATTTACATTAAAAAACTCATTCCTAAAATTATTCTTATTTTTTTTATCTCTTAAAGAATCCAGAAAGCCACTTAAAAAGTTAATTTCAAATACTCTTTTTGTTAAAAAATGTTAAAACTTAATATTATTTATTTATTTATTTTTTTTTTTCAAAAAAATTATTTTTGATTAATTAAAAAATAAATTTATCAATTACTGTTCCTGTGTATAACACGGGTGATATGCTAGTGTATATATATTAATGAAAATGAGGTTTCTAATAACAAGTCTTGTGGAAGTTTCAAGTTCTCAACATGAATTTTTAAAAATTTTGAATTATTGTAAAAGTAAAAAAAAAGGACATGTCTTAAAATGATTGATTGATTAAATATTTTTAATATCATTAATATTACCAATTTTTGTTCCTAAGTTAACTCTTTCAAATGTTCAAATAGTTAGCCTTATTGTATAACTATATTACCATATATAGATATTCTAACCTTTTAAATTTATATTCCTTAATTAACTCATATATTTTCAAATAGTAGAGAATTTACATTATAAAATCATATTCAAAGTGTTTGGTCTTCATTTAATATTTTTAACACTAGATAAACTTCTTAATATTGGGAATTTTTAACACCCATATTTAATTTCTTTGTACACTTAGATGTACTAATATTTATCCCTAAATTTTAAATTTTATAATACATGTGGTGGGTGCGGAAAAAAAAAAAAGTATGTGTAATTAGAAGCTCTTGTGATATTAGTCTCATTCCTCAATAATCCTATATCTTAACTCCTAAATATTTTCAAATGGCGGAGAATTTATATTACAAAATCATGTTAATATTTTAATATCTTTGATTTTCTTTTTCTTTTTTTCTTTAATTAGGAGCTTTCAAAATGTTTGGTCTTTAAATTAGGAGTCTTTAATTGATTATTATCAACTATTTTTTACTAATAAAACAATCAAATTTTTACGATGGGTCCAACGTAAAACAAGACACATTTTTTAAGTCAACCCAGCATTTTATAGTTTTTTTATACAAAGACAATTTTTTAAAATTTAGATCATCGGCATAAAATTTGATCCAAATTCGACATCTAAATTACTTTTGTATTTAATCCAATACTAACAATCTCAAATTAACTCATACCCCGTCACAACCTCAAAAATTAGGATATAAGTTAAAACATAAAATTTAAATTGATTATTATCAAATGTTTTTCCTAATTAACCAATCAATTTTTCAGATCAAGTGCAAGTTATGGTTAGAATAAGGCCGATAGTTTAAGGCAACATGGTGTTAGATAGTTTTAATTGGCAATAATTTTAAATATAAATATATAATTTTTGGCCCAGGTTTAATATTTTTTTTTTCAAATAAATATGCATGATATACATGTATATGTGTATATATATATATATTATTTTTGCTAGGTTTAATCGCACCAAAATTCCCTCAAGTATTAATGAATATCGCTTATTCTCCCTCATTTATGAACCCCGTACATATTAACTCCCTCAATTATGAAAATTATACAAATGCACCCCTTTTGGAGATGGTCTAGAGAGGGTGAAAGTGTTAGATTTTTATAGTTAAGGAGATTAATATGTATGAATTCATTAATGAGAGAAGATAAAGTAACATTTGTTAGTAGTTCGTGAAGTCTTAGTGTAATTAACCAATTTTATTATAAAAACCAAATATTAACATATGTGTAGTCACTAATTTAACAACTAAATCAATAAATAGATTAAGTGGTTCATGAATTAGTCATAAACTAAGGTGGTGTTGACAAAATTGAAAACTGAAAATTGAAACTGAATGCTGATTTTTTTAAGTTGAAAAACTGTTTGATAAAATTTAAGGATTGAACTAAAAATAAATTATTTGATCTATATAAGATTATTTAAAATTTATTCTCTTAAAATTATATATTTTAATTTTTATATTATTATGGTGGTGGTAGTTGTGGTAGTGGTGGTGGTAATGGTGACAGTGGCATGGTGGTGATGGTGGTGGTGGTGGTGGCAGCAGTAGCATTGATGGTGGTGGTGGTGGTGGCAGCAGTAGCATTGATGGTGGTGGTGATGGTGGCATGGTGGTGGTGGTCAACATGGTAGCAGTGATGGTAATAGTAGTAAAATGATAACGGCACTTATAACAACAATGACAATGGTGATGGAGGTGATGATAGTAGTGGCAGTGGCGGTAGTGGCAGTGGAAGTGGCGGCGACATGATGGTGATGGTGATGGTAGCAGTTGTGATGGTGGAAGTGGTGGTAGCAGTATAATTGTGGTAAATGTGATGGTGGTAGTAAGCTTATAACAATAAATATCGATACTTGTATTTAGTATTTATAAATTCAATCAAAATTAAATAAGTTCTATATGATTTTTTTTAATAAAAAATTACTGTATATTTTTAGAAACACTTAAATTTTTAAGTAATATTAATTACAGTTATAAAATGAGCTTAATTGATTATTACTTAATAAATTTAGGTGTAAGTACTGAATCAAGTAATCAAACACCCATAAGATAATGTTTTAATGATTAAGTTAGAGCGAAATTAGTATAAAATTAATGAAAATTGTTTGAGACCACTAAAACAATGAGCTCTAATAGCTCTAAAAACACTGTGCCCCTAATTGATTTGATGTTTTGCTCTTTGTTTTTTTTTTTTATTTTATTTTATTTTCTGGACTGCCAGCTCATTAGAGCTGGCTTAGTGGTCCATTTTTAGTGGGATCTATCACCACTGAAAATTAATTTAACTCATGTCTAGCCCAACTCTAATTACTCAATCCAACTATTATCCATTCTTACATGAAAGTTGCAAGATAAACTATACTTTTATATAATATGATTTAATCTGTAATTGAGCGAATTTTGACCTAGGATGAACTAAAATTGAAAAAACTTATTGACCATAATATATTTTTATTTTATCATAAATATAATTTTTATAATTATTTTTTATTTTTTATTTCTATCAATTAAACTATGACATTTATTTCTTATTAAAAATTTAAAACATGCAATTAATGCCATACATAAACTAAAAAACTTCCAATAAAAATTGTTAAAATTTAATTGATTCTAAATTATTTTTTCCATACATGCCAAACAAATTTTATGTTATTATTTAATTATAATTAAATTTTAATTATTTGTTTAAACTAGCACATGTACACCGCTGATATCATTATCGGTGAATTTATGGATCTAAAATTCTCTAAAATTTGTAAATCTACAATCTACTTACCAGATCAAAACAGCTGTTGGTGACCACCACATAAAAATGATACAAGGTACGTAAGACTCTAACAATCGCATGTAGTTCAAGCATAATATAATAATATTATTATTTATGATAATATATATGAAGTCTTTTTTCTGGAAAACGGCAAACCACAAAACCAAATGCACAAGACACATCCAAAGAAAACGCACAAGCAAAATGCAACCAGCACAAGCAAAATGCAACCATTGAAATGAAAAAAAGCAGCGACCACCAGCACATGGAAACTCAGTAAAACAGATTGGCTCTTAGGCATCCACATGTCCAACCAGGGCAAGAAGCATTTTTTCATAGTCTCCGGTGGTGTCCTTGGCAATGGCAACATCCAGAGGAATGCTATTCCTCCTGTGATACTCCTCTTTTATGATCTTCATGTCAACCTCAGCCCTCGTAGCCACAACTCTAGTCAGAGCCCCTTCATCTGTTCCTCGCTTGTTTATTGCCAGTTGAAGAACCTTCTCAAAGTACTTCTCCGGCCAGGTCAAGCACTTCACCGTTGATCTCAGTATTGACAGAAACTCATCATTGGGATCAGCTTCCAAGTCCTGTAATGAACAGAAGTTCCTTAAAAGAAATTACTCAACCTTGAGACTCTAGTCAGAAATAAAAAGCCTTCTATAATAACTCATAATTTCCAAGTCGGGCCTCATGTAGTCTGCAATCCTACACACTGTTAGTTTGGACACAGAACATTTTCCAATGAAAATTGTTTTTTCAGAAAAAAATTTCAGTAAAAAGTTTGGTTGCAATCTTAGAAACTAATGTGCACGTGGTTGTATTAGTAGCAGTGGTGGAGAGGCAGTGGAGGTGGTAGGGGGATGGTGAAGGTGGAGGTGGATGTGGTGGTGGCGGCAGTGAAGGTGGTGGTAATAGTGTGGTTATATTGGTAAGATTTTAATTTGAAAAATATTTTTTTATTTATGCTCAAATAAACTTATTTTCTCTTGACCACAGAAAATGTTTCCATTGCCTTTCATTTTCCATCGTACCAAATGTCAGAAAATGCAGAATACAATTTTCAAAAAATATTTGCGTCCAAAACAAATGGAGCACTAGTAATCTAAATATTTACATTGTGTTTTGTCACCTCTTAAATTGTCCATAGAAACTCACATTTGTTTCTATAAAATAGCTAATACATGGACAGACCATTACAGTGACTAGGTTTTGGTAGATCAATCAACTGGGATGATCTACAACAGTAATGATATCAAATACACATCATTATAAACTAGCTTACTTCTCTTTGCAAGACAATGGAAAATGCTACATTTTAATGAACCAAAACCACGTATTTCCCTGAGGAAACACGAAAATTAATAAAAACAGTGATGTGCAATTTCAAGTATAGAAAGGAAAGGGCCACTATTGAAGAGGACGTCTGCCTGAAAAATCATGGTCAAATGCAGTTCACATTCATACCTCGAGTATATCATGCCCGAATTCATTTTTGTATTGATTCAGTGTTGCATTGACCTGTGCTTTGCTCCTTGTAGCCAGAATCCTGATGAGATCCTCATTACTGTAATGTTTCTTCGAAATATTCTCATGGAGAATCTTAGCCTCCGATTTTGCGAGTGTCATGTTCACCTCATCTCCGTTGTACCGATATGCGCTCACAAGCGGTACCAAAAGCTGGGAGCACAGGGAGTGGAACAAAGAAAGTCACGAGGAAATAGAACTTTACATTCACAGTTTAGGGGTAAATTGACAATAAAGAGATGGAACCAGAAACAAAAGAAAAAGATTTACAATACTACACAAAGCCATGATTCCATCCAACAGTAACATTTTCATAAATTCAGGAGTATTCTCTGTTTCTTGAGGATAATTATGATCAATGATACACTACTAATCCATAGGACGTACCTTGCGGAAGTCACCAGTTGTGTGATGTGCAACATCCTCTTCAAGGGATTTCTTAAAACGAGCATGATAGGCTTGCTTTGCAAGAAGTAGTTCATGTGGAGACCTTGCACAAGCTATTTCTACTAGAACCTGGTTGCTTGAAGTCCACCTCTTTGTAGCTTCATTAGCCAAAACTGCATCACGTTTAGCAGGTTCAGTGTCCAGAGCAGTACCAACCTCTGAAAGAAAAATTAGGGAAAGGTTATATGTTAGCTTTTCCAACACCATACTAATTGCTCTTTGCTAAACTGCTTAAGTGAATGAAACCAAAGGTTAGGAATCCTGGCTAATGTCATGGAATACCTATGTGAAAGAAAGCTAATAGGCGGATCACTAAGCTGAAGGTACGTTGGGAAACTACTTTTTTCAGCATAATAAACAGGGTTGTAAATGTGCAAGAACCAACCTCAAAGTCATTTGAAAGCTCTTTGTCCAGTGCTTTGAGAAGATCTTCATTGTATGTTTCAGCATAAGTTTGTCGAATTGACTTGCGTTGAGCAGCATTTCTATGAGCCAATATGGATATGATTAAATCTTCATTAGTTCCCCATCCTGCAAAAGTATCAAGGATATTATTTAAAATCAGTATCGCAAGCCATGGATTGACAATATCTAAAGAAATCAATACAACAAAGTGATAGTGACCAAGACCTCGATAACAGATTCACAGTGGTTCAGATTGACTGCTTGAAATAGTGTATCACACTATTGTCATTTTGATATATAAGCAGGCAGTTAAAATAAAAGGTTCTTTGAACCATAGTTGAATAAAACGGAACGGGGATGGGGAAGAAAGGGCTATATAGAAGAGTTTAAGGTCAGGAGCAGTGAGGTTCTGGAGCAAGGAGCAAGGAGCAAGGAGCAAGGCCCTGTTAGGAGTTTCCTGCTACTAAACTTTGAACAACTGTCAAAAGGATTAGCACTTTAAATGGCTAGCTTGGTCTTTTGAGAATTCAAACCCTACTACAATCAAAATCTCATCAAGGTCTAAAATCCATAAAAAAAAGAAAAAAAAGAAAAAAAAATCATATTCCAGTCAAAGCGTATACAAACTTCCTATACATAAGACATTAAAAAAGTCATTGATCAGCTACTGGACGAATGTGTGTGCATACACAATACATTTCTCAGCAGATACATTATACATATAAAGGTTAATTTCAAGAAGGATCATCTGCATGCAAATCTGGATGTTCAAAGATTTTGCCTTTATGGTTAAGGCCTTATAATCTACAACATGTACTGTTAACCAAAATAAAAAAGTCAGTCCTAAAATTAAAGTAATCTTTTTACTTCTAATAGTAAGATGATGTGCTCATGAAAAGAATTGAACATTTTCACTTGCAAGCAACCACTACAATTAAAAAATTACTTAGAAAAGTTTCCATGGATCTTCAGAATAAGTACCACTTGATCTTCGAAGATTTCTTATATATATATGTATATATATATTTTTTTAAATCACAAAAAAGCTACTTTTGATGGCCAAACTTCTACTGAAATCAGGGAAAGAAGAAGAAGAAGAAGAAGAAGAAGAAGAAGAAAATGCTCCATATTCAGATGATCCTTGTGTAATTACGTCCGATTTGTATATACACAGAATACGTATCTAAACCTAACATGTATGGATGATTTCTCTAAATTACAATGACCTACATTTGATGAAACAGGCGAGAAAACAGAGAGATCGGCAATTAAACATGCGTGATCTATCCATGAGCACCATAAAAAATTTAGAATTAAAAAAAATTACAATGAAATAATTCCATAGAGTCATGAATAGAGGACATGATCCGAGTTTCATAACATCAACGAACAATAAGATCGGCATGAAAGTCGAGAGAGTGATCATAATTTAAGTAAATCACTACAGTTGCAAAATCACAGTATAGATCTCATATAAATTCATCAGGAATACCACGATCATTCACAGGTCATCAGATCCAAAGCAAAAAGACACGATCGTCCATTTCCTACAAACAATAATGTCTCTAACTCAATGATCATATAGATCAAGTAATAATAGGCAAGCAAAAAAGACTCAAACTCTATCATTTAACGAACTTCAATACAATTACACAAACATATACATACATACATACATAGAGATGATCACAAAAAAGGACACACAGAGATCGATCTGATCAGTGAAATAAGGAGAAAATGGTGAAAAAAAAGGACCTCCGAAGGCTTTACGGAGTTGCTCGACGTCTTCAGTGACGGAGGGTACTTGTGCGGGAACTGTAAGAGTCGACATCTCCTTCTTTTGGTCGGTTTTTGGGAATTTTTTATTGCTCTGAAGATTGAAGACTCGAAAACGAGAGGATTTTCAAGGACAGAGGGGATCGGAGACAGCTGAATCGCAACTTTATTTAATGGTAAGAAAAGGACATTGGGATGGGTCATTCCATACTTGGATATTTTTTGCCACGTGTCCGATTGGTTGCCTATTTGCGGAGAGGTTACTAATGGGTCTTCGGTCACCGTTTTGCGTGTCCCAATATGTTTGGTTTCCAACGTTTGATTTGGGTTTTTTCAATTAATTTTTTTTTAAAATTTAATTATTTAGTTTTTATATTTTTTTTATTTTTAGTAGATATTTTTAAAATTTTAAATATAATTTTTTATTTTTTTAGATACATCTTATTTAGATGTATTTAAAAAGTAAAAAATTATAAAAAAATATTTTAAATATTTAATAAATATAAAAAAATATACTGAATTCTCGTATTTTTTTTTATATTTTTGGTATTTTGTAAATTTTTAAAATATTTTTTTTACAAATTTTTTACTTTTTAAGTATATTTATGGTAGGTATGTCTAAAAAGTAAAAAAAATTGCTTAAAATATTAAAAAAATTCAATAAAAACAAAAAAAATACGAAAAATAAGAAAGTATAATTTTCTGAAAAGTGTTTTTGAAAAAACACAACCAAACAAGCTGTATAATATTGTAATTGGTGAAAGGATGAGATTTATAAATTTGTGTTGAGTAATTAAAAATTTGTGATACGTGAGGGACACTGGTAAATGATGCCCTAGAAGTATAAAATAATTCCATCTCAGAAAGGTTTGAATAGTATTATCTCCGTTCTAAAATAATGATCTCTTTTGGAGAATTTAATTTTTTTGATAGTATAATTATTGTATTTTAAAAAAATTGATTTTTCAAAAAATATTTTTTAATAGTATATTTTTTTGAAGAATATCAATGTCATAATTGTATTTTTTATATTGTTAATGAATTTAAAAAAATGACAAAATATAAAATTTATATTATTTTTGTATTTAATTTTTGTAAATAGACTAATATTTTTAAAAAATAAAAAATAAAATAAAAAAATTAATATTTTAAGATGAAACTAATATTTTGAGATTGAGAGAATATAAAAAATTATTGATTGACTTAACGTGTCATGTGACTGTACATTTTACCAATAACAAATTATTATATTTTTTCATATTTTTTAATTACTTAATATAAAATTATGAATTTTACATATAAAATTATGAATCTTTCCTCTTCTACCAATAACAATATTACTGAGGCACCACATGTGTGGCACGATCAATCAATTACTTCTCTCATAGCGTGGGGAGAATCATTGAGTGGTGCTTGGTGCTCTATACTGTTGATGATGTGATAGATAGGCTCCTTTTGTTTCAATATAAACTCTATTTGCTTTCGTATGACATAAGTTAAAATAAAATTTTTTAGTTAAAATAGTCATAAAAAAGATAAAATAATTTTTTTAAGTTAATAAGACAAAATGTCATATTCAAATATAATCATTTTATTTTTTTCTCATAAAAGTTAAAAAAGCCAAAAAGTCTATCCTAAATAAGACTTTTAACCTGAGGCTAAAATAGTCAAAAAATTAAAAAGTCAACCCACATCGCAAACGGAACCTTTGTTTCATCGTAAAATATATTTTTTTTATGTAAAATAATTTCTTTTAAAAATATTCTTTTATTTTTATTTTTCGGTATTTGTTTAGTACTTGAAATATTTTTTATAATAAAAATCTTTATAAAGAGCTAAATATATAATAAATTTTAGAGGTATTTATATGGAGGCCACTATTATATTAATGGTTGGAATTTTTTAAAATTAAAAAAATCTATGACGGCGTTTTAAAAGCGTCACTAAAACCATAGCGATAGCGCAATACTGTTAGGATAGGACATTTGGCGGCGTTTTTAAAAACGCCGCCTATACTAATATAGCGACGTTTTTCAAACGTCATAAAGTTATAGCGACGCCAGCGTCTTCGACGTTTGGTATTAAACGTCGCAAAAACAATTAGAGGCGTTTATGTCACTTATAGCGGCGTTTTTAAAACGCCGCTAAATGTGTATTTTCCATCAGTGATTATAAAAACGTATACATGGATCTCTTAAACTATTGAGAATTATCACTTTGTCTCTTAAAATATGCAAGTGTACAAATAAACCTTTTAAACTATAAAAATGTCTAAATTGAACCCCTTAATCAAATGTGCCAAAGTGAAATATACCAATAGTTTAGGGGTCCATTTTTACGCATTTATAGTTTAGGGAGCAAAATGATATTTCTTAATAGTTTATGGGGTCCATTTGTACTCTTTTATAATTTAAGGGGTCAAAGTGATAAGTACTTCTCTATAGTTTAGCGGGTATTCGAGTATATAATCCAAAATTTTAAAAAGAGAAAGAATAAAGAAAAATGATATCCATATATAATTTTCATATAGAATCGAACACAAATAATGTGGCAATGTTATTCTTACATTTATCAACTATGGTAATGAGAATTTTAACTTTCAATAAGTAAATACAAATAAGATGACACATTATTATATATAATTTTTATTCAAATTCTATTTGTACATCATTACTAAAAAATAAAATAAGAATGTAACAAAAAAACTTAATTTAAAAACTTAATTTCGATCAATTGCTCAACTATAATATATGTATATGAAGAGGGAGAGAGAGGGGGGAGTGGAGAGAATAAAAACGTTTAATCTATATGAAAGTAGTGGAACTTGATATGTATTTCGAATAGTATCAAGCGAGGTGAGGAAAAAAAAAAAAAAACTTACAAAAGTTTTAAACGTAAATCATTTTATGTTTTATGATGTAAAATGTTTTACTTAAAAAAATATATTTAATTACTTTTTTTTGGCAATTTTTATATACTCAAAAAATTTGTCAACATTATGCAACCAACAAATAAAATCCTCAAAATGACAAATAAGTATTAAAATATGAAATTTTTGGCTCAACTTTATAATTTGAAAATTTATGACTCATGCGATTAGACCTACTCAAATTCGTCCTCACTATCGTGTTGACAATGAGAATATCATCTCAAAATGTTGCGATTAATAGGTTGGCTTTGGACAAATCCTATAGCATGGTTCCTATTACCATTATGACTAATAAATTGGCCTTGGACAAGTCTCTTGATGCTAATTCTATTAAATCCCTCACTACGATCATCGTCAATAGGGTTTGTGCTTCCTACTCCAATGAATGACATCATGTTAGTTAAACTTTACTTTGATACCACTTGATGCAGCGGGATATATCATACAAAACTAGATATCATTTTAGTAGACGAAAAATACCTCAAATTCACAAAGAATAAAGAATTCTTAAAGAGAAACTAAATTATATTGAATAGAAGTTATTTATTTTATTTTTTTTGCTATAAGGCTACATAGTTAATTATAATAAATTAATATTTGGAAACCAAAAAACCTTGGACACCAAGAAGTCTAAATGTAGGAAACAGTATGGGTATAAGTTGGGTCCACTCGGGCCCGGGCTCCCGCCAAAATTCGAGTCAGGTTGGGCCGATTCGGCCCATGGGCTAGAAAATTAGGCCTAGGCCTAGGCCCAAGGGGTATTTAGGCCTTAGGCGGGTCATATAACGGCTTGGGTTAGACCCGACCCTATCATGTTCTTAGATCCGGGATCCGATACTCTTTATAGTTGTTTATACTCTTTCTTATCTTGTTATTGTTGAGTTTGGAGTTATTGTTTTTTTTTTTTTTTTTTTTTGGGTTTGCTTGAGCGGTCTTTCTTGCACTCGAGCGGTTTTCGGCAGTCTGCAAAACTTCTAGGAGGTGGTCATTGTGTACTCGAGCAGTATTTTGGTCACTCGAGCGATCTGTGTGTATATCAGTATAGGAGAAAGATCTTTTCTTTCGCTTTTGATCTCTCTCTCTCTCTAAAAAGTAACTTTACCAAATTTCTTCACTCTCTCTCTCTAGTTCTTATTTAAACCCCCCCTGTCTCATCGATGCGAGCATGAAAAGGCACCCAATAAACCTCTATGTCTTGTCGATACGAGCATGGAAATGCACCCAATAAAATCCCATGCATCGTCGATACAAGCATGGGAACAGGCACCCAATAAACCCTCATGTCTCGTCGATACGAGCATGGAAAGACACCCAATAAACCTCATTGCCTCATCGATACGAGCATGGAATGACATTCAGTAAACCCCTATATCTCGTCGATACGAGCATGGAAAGACACCCAATAAACCCCATTGCCTCCGCCACTTCCCATTCTTCATCGGCACCACCACTGTATTTGAGATCCACCGAGGATAGTGCACTTCTTGAATTGATCGTGCCTCCAGCAAATTCTTGACTTCCTCCGCAACTACCTCGGCGTGATGCAGCGCCGATCTCCTTGTTCGTTGAATGACTGGCTTGGCTCCGGGGAAGACATTGAGATGATGGAAAATAAAACTTGGATCGAGGC